ACCACGACTCCGAAGACCCACCCCCACCAAAACCTCTCCTCTAAAAAGACAAAAATACTACACAGCGCTAATAAAACTCTTGAGAACGTTTGCACACTATATGTAGCACGCCTTACGGCGCCGACTCATCAGATACGTTCCCCACGTTTTCGACTCGGGATATGCGTGTCTACCCTGACCCAACTAAAAACATATACACGGTGAGGGGTATAGGTCGACAAAGACACACCTAGGCAGAAAGGGGGAGTGACTGCAAGCGCGTATACATTACGCTACCGACCGTAAATCCACTGAGCTCTTCCACCAACACACCAACTGCGAGTGTTAAAACTTGTGTGAAAATTGTCAATCCTACGGGAAACTTGCGGGCGTTCACGTCACGTCTTCTGTCAACAAAGAAAACGAGGGGCGGTTATCCGCTCTCGAGAAAAGCCCCGAGCACAAGTAAAGAGTGGGATGAAACCTCCACTTCCCCGCTGTTTCTCTTCATGGTATGCTGCCCAGGTACGGATCGACAGGGGCGAGAACTAATAAGCAAACCAAGCGAACCCTCCCGCAGTATCTGACGCCGAGGGCCTGAAGGGCGCAACACACAGAGAGGGCAGAGGCACGACCAATCCGAGACAATCACAGCGCACATACCCAAGCAAGAAAATCGAGATCATCACAGAGGTTCCACGCCCCCCGCAAGCAGGCGTGCAAAAAGACCCCTGGCCAAGTCGCCTCGACGACGGACTACAGTCACCAACGCCTCGAGCGCATCAGCACCACCACCGCCGCCGCCGCCGCCACCGCCGTCGCGATTCTCCTCAGCAAATCATCAACCACGGCAAAAGTTTTCATACCAATCATTCCGTCGGTCTGTCTTGACTACGAGAACACACACCCTACTACTGTAGCCATGCTTCTACTCCGCAAAGACAGGGAAGATGCCAGTAGGTATAGTCTCCACTGGCTACGGTGGTGGCGGGGGTGGGCTGGGAGGCATTTCCGGCTGCGGCCGAGGCGCGGCATCATCATCCGGAGTAGCCGTTTTCACCGCCGCCGCCGCCGCCGCCGTCCTCTCCCCCCACCCTTCTCCTTCTACCCCTCCAACCCCCCGCTCCCCCTCTAAATTGCCTCCCCCCTCTCTCCCCGCTTCTCGTTCCTTCGCTGCCTCCCCCCAATCC